TTGAGTTCTTGATGATGGCCATCCTGACTGAAGTTTAGGTGGTATCTTAGTGTGATTTTAATTTGCATTTCTTTGATGATTAGTGAGGCTGAGCATTTTTCATGTATCTGTTGGCTGCTCATATGTCTTCTTTTGAGACATGTCTATTCATATCTTTTGCCCATTTTTTAACAGGGCTGCTTGTTTTTTTCTTTTTGGCATGTTTAAGTTCCTTGTAGATCCTAGATGTTAAGCTTTTGTCAGATATACAGTTGGCAAATATTTTTTCCCAGTCTGTGCACTGTCTCTCCGCTCTCTTGATGGTTTCTTTTGCCTTGCAGAAGCTTTTCAGTTTGATGAGGTCCCACTTGTCTATCTTATCTCTTATGGCATAGGTACTTGGGGTTTTATCAGGAATTGGTTGCCAGTTCCAATTTCCATAGGGTGTCTCCTGCATTTTCTAAGGTTCTTATAGTTTGAGGTTTTACATTTAGTTATTTTATCCATGTAGAATTGATTTTTATGTATGGTGATAGGCAGGGGTCTTGTTTTAGTCTTCTGCATGTGGTCAACCAGTTTTCTAGCACCATTTACTGAATAAGTTCTCCTCTCCCCGTTGGTTGTTAGTGGAGGCTTTGTTGAAGACGAGTTGATTGACAAATTGAGGTTTTGTTTCCAGAATTTCTGTACTGTTCCATTGGTCTATATGCCTGTTTTTGTACCAATACTAGGCTGTTTTGGTTATTGTAGCCTTATAATAAAGTTTAAAGGCTGTAAGTGTGATACTTTCTGCTTTGTTTTCTTTGCTGAGGATTATTTTGGCTATTCATGGTCATTTATGATTCCATGTGAATTTCTGTATTGTTGTTTCCAGGTCTGAGAAGAATGATGCTGGTAATGTAATGGGTATTGCGTTAAATCTGTAGATTGCCTTGGGTAGGATGGACATCTTAACAATGTTGATTCTTCCAATCCATAATATTTTTCCTTTTGTTTGTGTCATCTTTGATTTCTGTGAGCAGTGTTTTGTAGTTTTCGTTATAAAGGTCTTTCACTTCTCTGGTTAGGAAGATGCTGAGGTTGTGTGTGTGTGTGTGTGTGTGTGTGTGTGTGTGTGTGTATGTGTGTGTGTGTGTGTGTGTGTGTGGTTATTGTGAATGGGATTTATTTGGTTCTCTGCCAGTTTGTTGTTGATGTATAAGAATTCTACTATCTTTTGCATGTTGATTTTGTACCCTGAGACATTGCCAAAGTCCTTTTTCATAGCAAGAAGGTTTTTGACAGACTCTTTTGGATTTTTGAGGTATAGAATCATTTTGTCACCAAAGAGGGATTGCTTGACTTTCTCTTTCCCTACTTGGATGCCTCTGATTTCCTTCTCTTGTCTGGTTGCTCTAGCTAGAACTTCCAACACTATGTTGAAGAAGAGGTGTGAAAGTGGGCAGCCTTGTCTTGTTCCGGTTTTCAGGGAAAATGTTTCCAATTTTTGTCCATTTAGCAATATGTCTTTACCAAGCCTTTCAAGTTCCAACATGATGTGGTCTCTGCCTACTTAATCTAACCTCACCCTATTCCAGTCAACTTGACCTTTCTGCTTTTCTTTCTTTTCTTTTTTTTTTTTTTTTTTGAGTTGGAGTCTCACTCTTGTCGCCCAGGCTGGAGTGCAGTGGCACACTCATGGCTACTGCAGCTTCCACCTGCTGGGCTTAGGGGATCCTTCCACCTTAGCCTTCCAAGTCCTGCTTTTCTTAGAATATTGTCATGCTTGTTTCTCCACTTTTTATTCTCTGTTTGACTGTCTCCCTATCAGTATTCAGGTAATTGCTGAAATATCAGTTCCTCAGAGAGCCCTTCATGTACTACCCTCTCTAAAATATACCTCTTACCAACCCTCTTGCAATTATGTGATGTCCAAATCTTTTATTTCATTCATAGCAGTTTTTTTTTACCAACTGATATTATGTTATATACTTGTCTATCCTCCCTTTAGCAAATAAACTTCATGAGGGCAAGAAGTTTGTTCTGTTTACTTCTTCATTCCCAGTGCCTAGCACATTGTAGATACTCAATAAATTTTTCTTAGCCTAGGGAATTAATGAATGGGAATGGATGAACTTACCCAAAAATAATGACTTAGAAAGAAAGTAAAGACAATCTAGATTGGAAACCTAGGAAACATTAGTATCTGCAGACTATACAGAAGAGGAGGAACAAGTGAAAAGAGAATGAATAATACCGGACAGGGTGGTAGAAAGAGAGCTGCCAGGAAACACTGGTCTTCATCATAGACCATTTGTATTTAGGGAAAGAGAATTGACTGGGTGTTCTCAAAACTATATTACTATTAAATATTATTACAAAGCACTGACTCTGTCAGCAACATTTTTTTTTAATTAAAAAGACAACAACTATATAAACAGTAAATTCAGAAAACTATAGTCACATAGTCACATTGAAATCAATGATCTTAATAAGGAATATATACATGGAAGCGTTACAATATTTTTTCTTGTGCCTTGTATTTTCTTTTCTTTTCTTTTCTTTTTTTTCAAGTTAGAGTCTTACTCTGTTATCCAGGTTGGAGTGCAGTGGCACACTCATGGCTACCCCAGTGCCAACCTGCTGGGCTCCAGCGAGCCTTCTGCCTCAGCCTTCCAAGTAGCCAGAACTACAAGTGTGCACAACCATACCCAGCTAATTTTTGATTTTTATTGTTGAGACGAGGTCTTGCCAAGTTGTCTGGGTTGGTCTCAAATCCACGGGCTCAGGCAATCCACTTGCCTTCGCCTCCCAAAGTGCTGGGATTATAGGCTGAACCACTGAACTGGGCCATTGTATTTTCTTTTTCTTTTCTTTTTTTTTTGAGTTGGAATCTCACTCTGTCACCCAAACTGGAGTGCAGTAGCCACTCCTGGCCACTGCAGCCTCGACCTGCTGGGCTCCAGCGATCCTTCTGCTTCAGCCTTCCAAGTAGCTAGAATTACAGGTGTGTGCTACCATGCCTGGCTAATTTTTAATTTATTGTAGAGATGAGGTCTCGTCAAGTTGCCCAGGCGGATCTCAAACCCGCGGGCTCAGGCAATCCACTCACCTCAGCCTCCCAAAGCACTGGGATTACAGGCTGAGCCACCGAGCCAGGCTTGTATTTTCTTAAAGAGTAAAGATTAAACTCTAGAGATTTTTTTTACCTATGATTTTATGATATGGTATATTTGGATTTTTTTCCAATTACACTGGGGATATATATATTTTGAATCTGAGTCTCACTCTGTCACCCAGACTGGAGTGCAGCAGCACAATCTCAGCCACCACAGCCTCAACCTGCTGAGCTCAGGTGATCCTTCCACCTCAGCCTTCCAAGTAGCTGGGACTACAGATGCACACCACTACACCCAGCTAATTTTTTGATTTATTGTAGAGACAAGGCCTCGCTATGTAGCCTAGGCTGGTCTCGAACTCCTGAGCTCAGGCAATACTCTTGCCTCTGCCTCCCAAAGTGCTGGGATTATAGGCATGAGCCACTATGTCCAACTGGGAGTTATATAGATTTTAGTTCTTTCGGACTTTACAAGGAAATTATTAGGATTTATAGTTAAATTGCCAATAATATATTTATCTACTGGAAGATCTCTTATAATGCCAGTGGTATAGACAATAGCAGATATACCTACACCAATCAGAAAACAGGTATGAACAGGATAAGAGAGCCAAAAAAGTACCAAGGACTAGCACCAGCAGGAAGTTACCACCCTAAACTTGAAGGGATTAGGGGACAGAGGAGTTACCAATCTTGTAGGAACTTCAGATGCAGGAGAAGGGCTGTCTGACAAGGGATGTAACCTTTGATGGAAGAGTGTAGCCACTTTCAAACTGTGACCTAGAAGGGAAAGATTTGGGAGAAACAATTATCCCAACCTGTTTCTCTCTGATCTTTGATCTCCTGCCAATGCTTCCCATTAATTGAACCCAAACAGAAGCCAGAAGTCAAGGAAGCTTGGTTGGTTCACAGATTAGCCTTCCAGGTGGCAGAACAGAATATAGAAGATTGAATAATTATACAGAGGAGCAGACATTAAATATCCAGAACAAAGGTGGTTTGGTAAATGTGTGGCAAAATCTAAAAATCTGTATACCTTTTCCATAGTTTTTGTTATGTACTGGCCAGGCCATCCATGTGTCCTAAGCTTTGGCCCTTCCTCTGCCTTGGGGAAATGAATCAATCATCTCTCTCTCTCTCTCTCTCTCTCTCTCTCTCTCTCTCTCTCTCTCTCTCTGTCTCTCGATGTTTCTTGCATGGTTGCTCACAATAGCAAACAGTTACAACAAAAGCAAACAATTACAACAAACTTAAATTTCCAACAATAGGGAACTGATTGAATAAAGTATGATTTACTGATGTATGGGATCCTGTTTTTCCATTCAAAACCTAAGTGAATGTACATTGATTAACATGTAAAGGTGCTCATGCTTCATTGCTTAGTAGAAAATAACAGGTTATGGAATACTATGTACATGAATTCACTTTTGTTTTAAGATATTAAAAAAGGCTAGGCTCGGTGGCTCAGCCTGTAATCCCAGCACTTTAGGACGCCGAGGCAAGTGGATTGCCTGAGCCTGCAGGTTCGAGACCAGCCTGGGCAACTTGGCGAGACCTTGTCTCCTCAATAAGTCAAAAAATTAGCCAGGCGTGGTAGCGTGCACCTGTAGTTCAAGCTACTTGGAAGGCTGAGGAGAAGGGATCCCTCGAGCCCAGCAGATTGACACTGGGGTGGCCGTGAGCATGTCCCTGCACTCCAACCTGGGCGACAGAGTGAGAGTCCAACTCAAAAAAAAAAAAAAAAATTCAAAAGCAATTGAGAAATTTACTTAATTTTTGTATTTCTCTTGAAATGTGATGGGACTATAGATGATTTTGCTCTGTATCTGTTGGAATTTAATAAAGTTTTCCATGGTGAACTTATAGAACACGCACTATTTATTAATAAAAATGTTTTGAAATCAGTAATTTTATAATGTCACAGAAGAACAACTACAGGAACAGTGACCCAGATTAATTGTGAATTTGAGGAAGTCGTTCCAAGTTCAAATCCAAACTCCCAAACTGAAGTAGAGGAAGCTAATTTATATACCCACAAGGACTACAGTGAAGTGTTTACAGTTGTCAGCTGTTCAGAGCAATGGCCAGCACTACAGGCACAGGACCAAGGTAAAATATATGTTATTTCAATTATAAATAATTTCTTACAAATATTCAGATTTTCATTTCAGTGAGTTTTTTGTTTGATTTGATTTTAAATTTTTTATTTTATTATAGATAGCAACCTGCATGTTTATAATTCTAAACTCTGACATATTAGGGAAATATTTTATCATTCATATTAATCCCCTTTTTGTAAATTGGATTATTTTTGGAGTTTAGGTTTGCTATGCCTCAAAGAGATTTATAATAAAAGATTTATAAGCTACAGAGATTTGATCATACTATGCTTACAACATATTGCTATTATAATATTGGCATCTTTGTACAGATTCTGTGACACAGATAGCCAGTGTAACACTAAACTACTAGATTATGAAGTGGTGATTATATTTTATTTTTCAAAAAATGCTAAAGATTTTCAATCTCATCTAATTTACATGAAACAAAGTTTAGAATGGAGATGAATAGTTGAAGTATTAGCTTAGGAAATATACTCAGTGTTACAAACCTACTGTCAATTATAATTAAAAGTGTATCGTATCCAAACTATATTCCAAATCTCTCTTTTTTCTAGAGGGTGCTGAATTCTTCCAACCATGTAAAATATTGCAGAGAATTAATTTTCTTGTATATATAACAGCCTATTTCCTTTTAAAATTATAACATGTAAGACTCTATTAGATAATTATGACTATCATTTAATAAATGCTAATAGCTTGTGCACATGAAAAATAATTTGGTTCTTTTATTGTTATTTTTATGTAGATACATTATATATAAAATTTTTAGTGCTGGCAAATAGTTGTGTGATGATATATATAAAGAGACATAAATTCCTTTTATAGTTTGAGGAGAAAGAGAGATGGATTGTACTGAAGACTAAAACTTGAGAGGATGGTATAATAGTAAGTGACTGAATTTGGAGTTGGAAAATTTGAATTTTCTGCCCAAATCTACTCTTAAAAAAGTGAAACAATTTGGAGAAAGTCATTATTTGGGAATTTGTGAGGAAACTTTTATGATTTAAAATTTTCCTCTATAATTTATTTCTTAATTTACTATTCTTTTTAAAAAATAAAACTATTCTTGTGGATAAAATATTAATATGTAAAGGATGGTTTATTTTTAAAAAGGCTATACAGATATTGCTATTATTATTAATGTGGTAAACGAGAAGCTACTGTTGGCTAGAAGCAACTGTTCACTGAAAGAAGATATGCTTGAATACATGTGAACTGTCCATAGCTTATGTTTTCTCAGGGGTCCTGTGTAATTAGATATCACCTTGTAAATTTAGATTTTCAATTTCAGTTATTTGCTGTTATATTGATTGCTGCCATATTTGTAGATATTTTGGTCATACTGTTTAAATCAAAAGGAACATATTATACTTTGGAATTCAGGTGATACTATAAATTTGCTGTGTCTTTTTTTTTTTTTTTTTTTTTTTTAGTCAGGGACTCACTCTATCACCCACGCTGAAATGCAGTGGCACAATCATGGCTCACTGCAGTCCTCCTGACCTTTTGGGCTCAGGTGATCCTTCTACCTCAGCCTCCTGAGTAGGTCGGACTACAAGCATGAGCCACCATACTTGGCTAATTTTTAAAAATTTTTTAATTTTTTAAATTTTAAATATGTGGGGTACAATTCAGGATTAGGTATACGAGTGGTCATCATACAGGTAAGGTTTGGGCCTCCCTTTTGTCCCCACTTTGCTGGTTTGGATCAGGTACCCTTATTGATGTGTCCCCCCCCCCCCCCCCCCCCCCCCCCACCCCCGCGCACCAGCAATATTCCTCTACTGCCAATCCCTTTCTTATAGTTTTATGGTAAATGTTCAGGGTCCACTTTTTTGTTTTTTTTAAAGATGAGATCTCACTATGTTGCTGTGGTCTTGAACTCCTGGACTCAAACAATTCTCCTGCCTTGGCCTCTCAACATGCTAGGATTACAGGTGTGAGCCACCACACGTGGCCAGATTTGCTGTGTCTTATTATAGAATTACAGATAATTACAAAATTATAAGATAATTTCAAAACATATATACCTTTAAAACATAAAAACAGTGGCTGGTTTTCTTTTATTGTTTGTTGGTTTGTTGATGTTTGCTAATTGTCCTACAATGTTCATGTATTATTTGTCAATATATATAACCATTTTTTTGAGTATCCTTCTAAATATCCTGGGAACACATAAGCAAAAACAGATAGAGATTTTATTTTATTATTTAAATAAAGTTGTACATACTTATAGTTTAGAGAGTCAAATCATTTGTTAAAGTTTATAATAAAAAGCAGTAACCCAACTTCCAGTTTTAAAATGGCAGTATAGAAGCAATCTGACTTCACTCCCCCAGCAGAAAACTGAAAACATATATTCAGCACCAATAGTTTCACCAGCAATAACTCAGAACTCAAATATGAGGACAAGACAGCTCTCCAAGCCCCAGAGAAGTAAAAAAAAAAAACAAAAAAAAAAACTCTGAGCAGATGGAGGGAGAATCTGAATGCCCCTCCCCTTCATTCTGCCCCATAACAAGCACACAGAAAATCTTTCTCCAACTCGTGGTTTCTACACTGAAAAAAGTTATATTGGGGTGGTCAATCAGCTTTCCTACTATCTTGAGTTTCCTGGCAGTAGACCTGTCCTTGTCTTAAATCACGGGAAGCATCATGGCTGCCTGTAGAGAGAAATATCCCTGAGGATATTTCTGCTTGTAGAGACAAAGGGAGGAGTGTTCAGAGACAAAAACTGCTATCTAAACATTTTGTATCCAGCAAAATTATCCTTAAAGTATGAAGGAGAAATAAAGTCTTTCCCAGAAAAACAGAAGCTGAGAGAATTCACCATCACCAGACAGATCTTATAAGAAATGCTAAACACAGTTCTTTAGTCTGAAAGAAAAAACCACTAATGTGCAAAAAGAAAACTTTTCAAAACATAAAACCCACTGGTAAAATTAAGTACATGTACAAACCCAGAATACTCTAATACTGTGGTATGGATTGCAATCTACTCATAAATCTAGTATGAAGCCCAAAGGACAATCTATCAATAACTATAGTAACCTGTTAAGAGATAGGTAATATAAAATATGTACATTGAGACAACAAAAAATTTTGGGGAATGGAGTTAAATAGAACTGTGTATTTATGTGTGTTTGCCTGTGTTTGTTTCTGTTTTTAAAATTTTTGATCTAATATAAGTTTTCATCTTTTAAAAATAACTTTTAATGTTTATAAGATGTTTTTTGAAAGCCTCATGGCAACCTCAGTGCAAAAACTCATATAGGTTTACTAAAAATAAAAAGCAATAAATTAAACCAGAGAAAATCACTTAACCACAAGGAGAAACAGTAAGAAAGGAGGAAAGAAAAGAGGAAATGAGAAGTTTCAAAACAACCAGAAAACAGGAAAAAAAAAATGGCAATAATAAATCCTTATCAATAATAACACTGAATGCAAATGGTCTCAATTCTCCAGTAAAAGGTATAGAGTGGCCGAATGGATAAATAAACAAGACTCAACTATATGATGCCTTCAAGAAATCCACTTCATCTATAAAGACACAGATCGTCTGAAAGTGAAGGACTGGGAAAAGATAGTCCATGCAACTGAAAACCAAGACAGAGCAGAAGTAACTATACCTCAATAAAATAGACGACAAATTTAAGATTGTTAAAAGAGATAAGGTCACTATGTAATGACATAGAAGTCAATTCAGCAAAAGGATGTAACAGTTATAAATATCTATGCACCAAACACCAGAGCTCCCAATTATATAAAACAAACATTAATAGATTTAGACACAGAAAGACATAGGGAGACTTTAACATGCTACTCTCAGTGATGGATATATCATCCAAACAGAAAATCAACAAAGTAACAGTAGAGTTAAACTACACACTAGATCTAATGGGCCTAACTGACATGAACAGAACATGTCACCCAACTGCTACAGAATATGCTTTTTTTAAAAATAGGCACATGGAGCATTCTCCACAATAGATAATATCTTAGGCCACAAAACAAGTCTGCATTAAAAAAAATCATAACAAGTGGTTTTTCTGACCATAATGTAGTAAAACTAGAAATCAATGACAATAGGAACTTCAGAAAATAAACAAACACATGGAAATTAAGCAACATGCTCCTGATGGACCAATGAAGAAATTAAGAAAGAAATTTAAAAATTTACTGAAGCAACTGAAAATGAAAAATACAAATACCAGCATTTATGGGATTCAGCAAAACAGTACTAAGAGGGAAGTTTATAGCAATATAGCAATAAACACCTGTATCAGAAAATCAGAAAGACTTCAAGTAAACAACCTAATAATGCACGTCAAGGCACCAGAAAAGCAAAAACAAACCAGACTCAGAATTAGTAGAAAGAATGAAACAATAAATATCAGACCAGAAAAAAATGAATTTAAGACTAAAAAAATACAGGTTAACAAAACAAAAAGTTGGTTTTTTGAAAAGAGAAACAAAAATAAGAAGAAAGAAGATGTAGATAAATAAAATCAGAAATGAAAAAGGAGACATGACTACTGAGACCTCAGAAATACAAAGAATCATTTAGAGGCTATTATATGCCAATCAACTAGAAAATGCATAAGAAGTGGATAAATTCCTGGACACATGCGACCTACTAAGATTGAACCATAAAGAAATAGAAAACCTCAGCAAACCAGTAATAAGAAATGAAATAGAAGCCATAATAAGAAGTCTCCCATCAAAGAAAAGCCCAGGACCTGATGGCTTCATGCTGAGTTTTGCCAAACATATTAATAACTAATACCAATCCTACTCAAATTCTTCAAAAAATTGACAAGTAGGGAATACTTCCAAACTCATTATACAAGACCAGCATCACCCTGATACCAAAACCAGACAAGGATACAACAGCAACAACAACAAAAAAAAACTACAGACCAGTATCACTGATGAAATAGATGCAAAAATTCTCAACAAAATACTAGCAAGCCTAATTTAACAACA